TTCCTCCTCAAATACAAGCAAGACATTGTGTGATGGGATCCTGACAGTTATCTGGACATTTTATAGTGGCTGTTAAAGAATCTCAGGCAGGTGTGAGGAAGCAATCTGAGAAAAGTTGATATGTATTCCAGAGCTAGAGGAAAACAAATGTCACAAGTATTCTGGCTGCTTCCTTGCAACCAGAGGCTTCTTGGGATGCATGTATAGAGAGTAAACATGTTCTCTTGGAGATGGGGCTAGAGAATCCTAGTTTAACATATATACTTCAGAGGTGGCAGCATGAGAAAGACAAGGTTCCTGGTACCTTATCCACCCTGATCAAACCACTACAACTGAAGTCAATATAAAAAATTTCATTGGCTTCCATGAACCTCAGGTTTTTCCTTCCATTTTTTCTCTTGTGTTGATATATTGAGCAAAGAATACGCTTGTATTATCTGCAGGGCTGCGGTGTGCAGACAAGGAAACACTGCATTTGCACATGTAAAGGAACTTCTCTTGGCTCACAGAGCTGAGATTCCAAGAGACAGAAAGGGGCATAGGGATAGGTGCCATTATTTGTACATAAATATTTGAAATCTGAGGAACAAACACACCTTTGACATTCTATAGCTTCAAAAGAAGTGAAAGGAAACATGACATATCCTGTTTCTACAAACCCTTTTCCAGTCACTTTAAAGAAAATCTTTACGCTTTTAAGGATTTGCAAAGCTATGTATCTTCATTCATGGTTTTCCTGTTTTTGTCTGAGGTCAGGCAGGTTTGTGTGTGAAAGGACAATTAGCACTGGACAGAGCGAAGCCATCTGACACTTTTTGTTCATACCAGCTTAGTGAAGCTAATCTCAGAGTTTCTGCATTTTCTTGTATTTTCAAGCACAGTAAGAACACCGGGGCTTGAAGAACGGAATAGATTTTAAACGCTTTGTTGATGGCTGATTTGCTTCAGTGTTTTCTCATGATTAAAATAGGACATCTGCTGAGTTAACATGGAAACTGTGCAAAAAACAGATGAAAATGCTGGAAAATCTAAGGTTAAGCAAGTTAACCATCCAAGAATATCTGTGATACAGCCAAATTCAGGTCTGCCTGATATCTGTTCCAAGGTTAATATCCTCATTCAAGAACTCTGCTTTCCATCCCTACAAGTTTTTCTCAACGGTGGCCAAATTCCCATTGAAGCTGGTGAGAACAAGCTCTGACGCTTACATAGGCAAGTTCCAATTGCATGGGGACCATCCTTCTGAAATCAGTAGAAGTTATTTCTGTAGGTAACGGTCAGTGATATGGCCAAGCATTTCCTCATGAGAAACTAAGCCTCTGTTTTGTGGTGTTCTCTGGAACGTAACAGCTCAAGGCTCTCTCATAACTCTCAAATCAAGGACTTCAGGACACCTGGGAGGCCTACACCTGAGGACCCCCATGTGAGAAGCCTTGAGGCAGGTAAGCAGCCCACAGAAGGTCTATTACAGATCTCCTTAATTGGCTGGGAGAGGAAGGCACAGTTATGTGACCCATCAGATAGGAGATATATCAATACCTCATTGAAGTCATGGAGTAGCTAAGAAGTCCTGACAAAAGTAAAGATGAAGGAGGGAGAAGTCATGCTCCAAGCCAGGGCCAGTGATTATGTGCTCCTGGGAGGGTCCCTTCATGGTCATGAGATGGGATGAGTCATAAGCCTCTGGGAAAGACATAGATTTTCAGCCACTGAGTGGAGTGCTCTCTTAAGGGAATTAAGGATTTCACGGGAAACGCTCCAGGGAACACTAGGGAACAACACTAGGGAACCGATACAGGCAAATTCATAAGCAGCAGCATTTACGATTGTCTGCAAGCAAAGGCTGATCTATACTCATTACCTCACTGTGACAGAAAAAATAGAGCTTCATCATTCATTAAGACGTCTACCGTTACTGGCACTGAGAGACAAACGAGCTGGCTATATGAGGTGATAACACTATGACAACTTCTTGGTTTGCCCTGGAAACGTGGAAAGAACCTCAGCACTTACAGGTTTGATCCTACAGAGTGTACAGGCTGACATGCCTCTAAAACTCATGGGGATTTTGCTTAGCTTGCATCTCTGGGCCCCAGCACAACAAAGCATTTGTGTATTGATTACAAAGGAACTTCTCTGTAATGAAGACTCCCATGACATCATAGGATCACAGGATAATTCAGGTTGGAAGGGACCTCAGGAGGTTTCTGATCCAACCTCCTGCTCAAGACAGGGCTAGCTTTGGGGTTGGACCAGGTAGCTGAGGGCTTTATCCAGTTGGGCCTTGGAAAAGCTCCAAGAACGGAGATTACACAGTCTCTCTGGGCAACTTGCTGCAATGCTTGACCATTCCCAAAGGTGAAAAGTTTTTCCTTACATTCAGTCGGAACTTCTCTTGTTTCAACTTATGCCTGTTGTTTCTCATCCTCCTACCATGCACTGCTATGTAGAGCCTGGCTCCAACTTCTTGATGACCACCTTGTAGGTATTGAGGGGTCACAATATTAGGTCACGCTATAGGTCACCCCCAAAGCCATCTCTACTCCAGGCTGAAAAAGCCCTAGACCCTCAGCTGCTCCTCACAGGCAAATGCTCCAGCCCCCAACCATCTCAGTGGTCTTCTGCTGAAGTTGCTCTTGTCAATGTCTTTCCCATAATGAGTGGCCCAAAACTGGATGCAGTATCTAGATATGGTCTCACAAGTGCTGAGTAAAGGAGGATAATCATTTCACTTGATCTGCTGGTTATTTTCCTGTTTCCTGTTTCTACAGCCCAGGATGCTCTTGGCCATCTTTGCTGCCAGGACATATGGCTGGATCATGCTCAGCTTGCTGCCCACCAGCATCCCCAGGCCCTTTTCTGCAGAACTGCTCCACGGCTAGTCAATCCTCACTCTTTATCTTTGCAAGGGGTTCCTCCTTCCCAGGGGCACAGCTTGGCATCTGTTCTTGTTAAATTTCATGAAGTTTCTGTTGGCCCATTCCTCCAGCCTGTCTAGGTCCCTCTGGATGGCAGTCCTGCCCTTGAGTGTATAGCCTGGTCCTCCCAATTTTGTTTTATCTGCAAACTAGATGAGAGTGCACTTCATCACTCCTCTACGTCACTGATAAAGAAGTTTAACAGGACAGGTGTCAGGACAGACCCCTACGATACTCCACTTGATATTGTCCTCTAGGCAAAGGACAACCTCTTTACCCTGACTCTCTGAGCCCAATCATACAACCACTTTTCACCGTACTGTAAAGTCCAAGACAGGAGTCTTGGATACATTGCACAGGACATGTTGGTAGAAGAACCTGGCTAGACCAGAATAGAGCACTGGCATTTGAAAGGTTATGTGGTGGGAGGCACAGATTGTTGCATACTGGATACAACTGACTGCAGTTTGAAGAGGGCAGATGTTCACATTGGTGAACATCTATCTCTTTACAACAGAATGGGATGACAGAACATCATTATTCAGTGTGGAGAGCTCAGGGTGAGTCCCAAACCCATTGAATTTTCATGAGGCAAAACATATGTGCAGATAGTGCCCCAAAGGTAGATCAGAGAGGTTCAGAAGGAGGCAGTTGAGGTTTCTGAGGGAAAACTGTGAAACAAAGGAAAAAGACCACATCTGAATGCTTTAGGAAATCTACTTTTCTCATAATCTAGTGGTAGGAGTAATCAGGCTTAGTGAGAGTCCAGGCTGGCTCAGGACCAAGCCCATTCACAAGGCATCGTTAACATGGAAGCGCACAGTAAGAAGCCCCCTCAGTCCACGCTCCAGCACTTGCAGGTACGTTTGTGCCTTAATGGAGCTTCCTTGTTGACGCAGCCAGTACCGACTGGGCAGTTCTACTTGGGTTATTGCTGAGGGAAATCATCTGCCTTTGCTTACACAAGCCTGGTGCTTTTGCAGCCTGCACCCCTTTGCATCTATCCCCAGCGTTTCACAGCAAGCTGTTGTGGTCTCACGGTGCCCTGTCCTGGGCTGCAAGCAGACAAGAGAGGCCCAGGAGAATGGCCTGGCCACCTCTGAGTGGAGCTGCCCCTGGACACAGAGGGAGAGGGGGATTCTGGGGTCGTCGAGGCTTGCCCTGGAGTCCAGTTCTTGAAATTTGCTAGAGGCAGAGGGGGAAAAATAATATTTTTCCAAGTGAGCTCCCCTGTGGGTCCTGTGCGAGCTGCCCTCACCTGTCCCCCAGAGTCTCAGGCGAACGCCTCTCAAGCAGGAGGAGATGGCCCTGTGCCAGCTCCTCATATCCTGACCCACTTTTCCTGAGAACTCAGCAAGGCACAGTTTCACAGACAAGAGGAAATCTCTAAACTGCACACAGCCCAGAGAGTGGAAAGTTTTTTTGTTGTTGTTTTTTTCAACTTTCCCATGAACGTATTTGACAGCTCGCTGTCCCTGTCCGTGCAGGATCCCAGCAGAAACCCGGGCTGGGGCTGTGCTTCCTGTCTCAAAGGAGGCTTGCCAGGAGCACGAGGGATTTACCAACCGCCACCTTTCACTCCCTGTCCCTTACCGTGTCCCGCCGAGGGCCATGTGCAGTGGCAAGCTGCAGACAGGCTTGCTGGTGGCTGGCTACTTCATCTACTTGCTGGTGGGCGCAGCCGTGTTCCAGGCGCTGGAGAGGACTGCCGAGAAGGAGCAGAAAATGGCAGCTGCCCAGATGAAGGAGGCTTTTCTGCAGAACTTCACCCACCTCACGGTGGCGGAGATGGAGCAGTTTATGAAGGTGAGTGCAAGGCACCGGGGAAGCCATTTCTCCCTCCCCTTTCTCCGTTGGACTGCATTTCCTATTCTGCCTTGCTACACAGATGACTTTCACTGTGTCACTGTGTCACTGTTGCGAAAATTTGGATGATTTTCGCAAACCCCAAGCCTGTTCTCTGGTCTGATTAGGCAGATCGTGCTGATGGTAAATACAGCACAGGAGGCTGGACAGAACCTTTTGTGTTGGCTATTGAAAAAAAAACAGAACAAACCCGAGGGGCCTGATTCTTTTGACTCTTGCCTCCTGCCAGCGTGGCTTACGGTGGGGCTGTGCTGATCTACAGTGGGTGGCACGGCATAAACAACGAGGCTGTCAGAAACGAGTGGGGGTGATTGCCACACGCACGCAGCAACATCACGGGCGGTGCAAAAGAACAATGCAGCAAGCTCTGAAATAATCTCTTGGGGAAAAAAGAAACTCAGATCTCTGCAAGGCTTGTGGCATAGTCAGGGTTTGTTTCTCAAAGGCATTATGGAAGCAAGACACACAACCTTGCCAGAGAAAGGTGTTTCTAGTCACCGCAGGGGAAACGGAGTGGCTACAGTTCTCTGTTCATCTTAGCTATTTGGTAGCTCTGTCTACTACAATGCAGAAAGAATGGAGACTGAAAATAGCCTTCCTGTAAGCATTTCTGCATGGGAAACGAAGAGAGCTCTCAGTAGGCCAGTTTGCATGATAAGGAGAGGAGCTGAGAAGCAGTATTTCTAATAAAGCAACTATTGATCCAGCCCCCACTTCACATATGCATGCACCCTCCTCAGCTTGGACTAGGGGGGGACAGGGGGGCAGTTGGGGGAGAGAAAAGAAAATAAAAAGAGGAACGTGTTCAGGAGAATGAAATCTTTGTGCCATGGCTGTGGAATAATTTCTGTTAGCCTTGATTTTGTGGGGCACCAGCAGAAGATTTGATAGGGGAGGGAAGGGAGAAGATCTTCCTGGTGCAATTTTTTCCAGCCTGTGTCTTGCCTCTGGCAGGACTCAGCCCTGGAGTTTATCTTGGCTGCTTCTGTACAAATAGGCCTGTGATCCAGATATCCAGCCCCCCGGCCTCTGCTTGCTAAACACAAGAACAGCTGGGTATTGCTTTTTTTTTTTTTTTTTTTTCCCTAAAGTTTTTAAAAATATATCAACATTAGTTATTATTAAAACCAAGGAAGATGGGAAAAAAGTCTGAAAAAGCATAGAATCATAGATGATAGGTCTGGAAGGGCTTGGGGGAGACATCTAGTCAATCACCTACCCCAGGACAGTCTTCACTGAGCCCAAACCACTTTCTGACAGATGTTTATCTACCCACACGTCAAAAGCCTAATTGCAAATACTCTGTGTGTGTGTGTGTGTTCGTGTGTGTGTCTACTCATGCATGCAATTGAGAGAGCAGTGCACATGTCTGATTGCAATTGCACCGGAATAATGGCTTGAAACTAAGTGAACTTTCTCTGGATTTAAATCTGTGATACTACTCAGAATACAACCTTGAAATGAAATTCTGCAAGCGTGTCATATGCACCATGCTATAACTCACTGATACCTTGCTGGGATGGATCAGGCACACTGCTCAGTATACCTCCACACAGATGAGGAATTAGACCTTGGAGCCACCACTGTCATCTCCAGGGCAAGCTCCAAACCAGCAATTAGCCACCCCATCACTTAAAACCAGTGGGCTGCCCTGCTCTGCCATGTGCTAGTCTTCTCTAGGATCCTTCGTTTCCAAAGTAGGTAGACTAAAAAAACTAAGGTCCCTGGGAGGTGCAGTTCACACTAAAAAAACAAGTTCTCATATTAGACCACTCAACATAACTATAGGGCAAAGAACTAACACTCAGAAATGCTGTCTGGCTGCCAGCAAGGCTTTGCCTTCCTTAAAAGCTAAGCTGTGAATGGTGTTTGGAGTAGTGTTGAGGACAGGTGAGTGGTACTTACAGGAAAGGAGCAGTAATGGCTAAATCCATAGTGCTCTTGCAGCAAATGCTTGAGAAAAGCAGCCGTGCTGGTACCAAACCTTGCTTTCCCTCGCAGAACCTGACTGAAGCCATTCAGAACGGAGTATACCCTGTTGGAAAGGAATCACAGATTGAAAACAGCAACTGGGATTTCAGTAACTCCTTCTTCTTTGCAGGCACGGTTGTCTCCACAATAGGTAGGATTTTCATGTGTCTGTGTGCGTGTCTGTGTGTGCGTGTGTGGTGCTTATTATGTATAGTTGTTAGGACCTGAACAGATAGTGCTTTCAAGGGTAAAACTCCCGCTCTTCATGGGCTAGGGGCAGAGGGGGAAGCAGTAACAGGCTTGGTCTTGAGAGCATACTACCACAAATACCACACTGTATTTTTTTCATTATTACATTTTTCTGCAAGCAGAGATCAGTTGCTTCCCATCAAATTTTGTTTCTCCAGCAAGGGAGAGAGGCTGTCACAGGAAAAGTACAGCTTTGCTTGTTTCTCTGCACCTTCCCTGCAGAGGTCTGTGGGTGAAGCTACATCACGTATTTCTACCCGTCTTCAAAACCCCAGGATCAGGGATGTCGGTTTTTGTTGTCGTGAAAGTGGAACAGCTGTGTGACAGGGAGCACAAGATAGCTGAAGCACTTGGGGGCCTAGCAGCCAATAAATCTGCCAGTTGTCTTATTTGTCTTTTCCCTCAGAGAAAGCCTTGAACTCTGGGAGTAATGGATGCCTTGAGACGAGCTAGGCTGGGGAAAATGCCTTTTCTCAGGGTCACTGATACAGTAAGGACATACACAAAGGACAGGACCCTTGTACTCAGATATCTACGCGTCTGAGAGGAACAAAGTCACCAGTTCATTAAAGGACGCGTCTGGAGTTCTGCAGCCATTGTTTCACTGCTTAGATAAATTCTCTTTTGATAAGATTTGAAACCAAATATCTCTTTGGCATGGATATATCAGCCACCATTAAGGTCTAGACTATTTAGCATAGGCTATTCTTATATACTCTACACTGCTTCCAGGACTTGAGCCAGTATCTGGACATACCAGCTTACTGGCATTTTGCCGGGGAGGTCACTAGCACAGCACTGCGCTGTATGCTCCAGCCATGACTTTGCAGGCAGATTGACAAGAAGCTGGGGATGGTCTGTATCTGATTCTGGCATGGTAAGCAGCCCTGGACTCCAGTCTTGACATCTTCCAGGTCCCCGGTCTTCTGGTTTCTGTCTTTCCATGTACTTGTCAGAGGAGAGAGCATGTTTTCAGATTATGCTTTCATTCCCATTAAGGCTGGGCTGGAAGCACACAGTGCTCTCTGCATCCTCCAGAACGTGCAGGGTGAATCACTTCATCTGCCTACCGGCGTTGTCAGAGAAAAGCAAATGCACAGGGGTTGAGAAGTGCTAGCCCTGTCTTCTGGGGGCAAAGGTAGGCCAGGTTCGGGTCGGGTAGGTGTGAATGGGACTGTGGACTGCTCCAGCTCTTTGGAATACCTCCTCTGACCCATCTTTCTTTCATAGGCTATGGCACGCTACGTCCTAAAACTGCTGGGGGCCAGATCTTCTGTGTCTTTTTTGCTCTGTTTGGAATCCCTCTGAATATTGTTTTTCTGCACCGTGTCGGTAAGATGCTCTCACTGCTGTGTAAAAAGCTGGGGAAATTCCTGTACGAGAAAGGAATGAGAAAGGTAATTGGTTTCACTTACTCAGGCACAGTGATATGCTCACTGCTAGGCTTCTTTCAAGATTCATCCTAGCATTATCCTCTGTTATGTTTGTTCTCATGCTGTGTTAGGCACCGTACTAGGACAGGGAAGAGAGGTTCTTCACCCTGCAGGGCTAAACAGACAAGGCAGCCGTAGAAGAGAGACACGGGCAGAGAAAGGGATGCATTTGCCCTACTCATCTAAATGCCAGGCATCCAGCCTCCTTCAGCAGTCAGTGGAAAGAGCAAGCACCTTATCCCACGTCTCTAGAAACTTCTCTCAGGAGCTAACACTCTTAGGAAGTACTATTCTCTTTCTATGGAGAGTAGACAGAGAATGAGATGATTAAGCATCTCATTTTTAGACAGCAAAAATTAGGTCAACCAATGCCATCCAGATGTTAAGGGTATCAGTAGATACTTGACTCATTGCCTAGCCTAGCCCCTCTCCGCCCTTGACTCTGTCAGTCAGGAAACAGCAGGCTGCAGTTGTCCATTTGAGCCCAGTTGTTGAAAGGTGAGGAGGCACATGTAAAGGCCTAGAGGCAGACCATCTCTTGCCTGGTTATGCCCCAAGTTCTTGCAGCTTCTCCTGGTCTATCACCACTGCTAAGGAAGTGGGAAGAGCTTTTCTCTGCCTCCTACTGTAACCCTCTTTCAGGAGGAGGTATGAATGCCACAGACAGCTCTGTTCAAATTGTTGAATTTCTCCCCATGTCTGGCAAACTTAAACAGAACATAAGGCTTGATCAGATATCGACTCTAGCATATGCACAATGCACTAAGGCATGGGGAATTATCCAACAGTTGCCCTTCATTTCAAGACAATCCGGAATTGTAAAATTCTGTACATAAATTATAGGTATGTCTGGCTGAGAAGTCTCAATTTATAAGTCTTTTCTTCCCAGCCAAGGCTTCTTTCTGGCTGCGTGGGTGTAGCATGGCACAAAAGTCACTTTCCAGACACTTCATCGTCAGGAGCTCGTTTGACAAAGGTCTTGTAGCTGGGTATTCATTGAGCGGGATCCAAGCTGTGGCACTGATCCAATGCATCTTCAGAGAAATGCAGGCAACATTCAAGACTCCTGGAGATAACGTTATTGGAATAGGTGTAAATTCTCCATGACTTACTTAAAACATATCTATTTTCTCAGGCAACTTTGGATATTTTTTGAGTGCGATACCTAAAAACTAATTAAAATGAAGTAATTTGGTGAAAAATTGAAATAGTCTGATTCTGATAACAGAGGATAGGAATTCCTCCCATAATTCATGGTCACTGGAGGTTCATACAATCACTAAAAAGCCTACATGTCCCTCAGTTACAGCAGCCATGCAAATCCCATGATGCCTGGCTTCCCCCTGCTTTGGAGTCAGGCTGAGGTACCTTTAGCGGGAGATAATTCAGTACAACCCTTTAGTCCCTGTGGTCCTAGTAGGTATGCCCAGATAGCTACCCATTTGAATACCCCACCATTATATATGACCTACTGTGTCAAATCAGAATTATAATTTAATTGGTTTCTTTTTCAGAAGAAGATCAAATTTCTGACCCTTTTGTTCTTCCTGGTGACGGGGATCCTAGTGTTTCTGTGTTTGCCATCACTCTTCTTCCAGATAACAGAGGGCTGGTCCTACAGTGAAGGAATTTACTTTGCATTTATCACCCTCAGCACCATTGGCTTTGGTGATTATGTAGTAGGTAAGGTTGAATTTAGAGACGAGACACACCAAAATGCTGGGAATACTACCATATTTAATTAACCATTAAGATGATGGCACAAGCCTCTAATGAAAGTACTATAGAGACAACTCTTCCGTCTGGGTCTTCCCAGTCTTTGCCGTGTGTAGTTCTAGGGGAAATACTCATCCCTCTGGGATTGCATGAGCTGATGAAAGCTAAGATGTCTATATATAATGATATACAGTACTTTAGGATTCAAAGAAGCCACGCATTTTGGGGAGGGGAAAGGGAACTGCTGAGGAGGATTCGAAGAGCCTGGGAATTTGCATATACTGAAAGGCAACAGTTTGTGACAGTCAAACAAAATAAGGCATGTATCCGTGCTTTGGCCATCTAAATTGTACATTTCAAAGTGTACAGTAAAGAAATAATTGGTCACATTTCGGAACACATGATTTTACAGCAATTCTCCTCAAAGCTGTGGAAAAGAGAAAAGTGGGGAAATGTACTCAGTCATCAAAAAATGGGAGCTTGTACTCACATATCAGTACAGAAGTGGCCTTTTAGTCTCCTAAGCACCACTGGATGCTCTTTGACTTCACAAGTTAGACCTTTGAATTTCCCCTGAGGTTAAACTGTTTAAGCCACAGTTCAGTGAGCTGGAGTGCTTCCAGAAACACTTCCGTGGATCTGCTTACCAGAATACGCTCTCCATGGAATTAGCTTCTAGAGGAACTCCAAAAGGTACACCAGAGGCCGAATCAGTGTCCATGGAAGAAGCAATCAAACACCTGGACTGGAGTCAGAGGATCAAAGATTTCTCTGCTACAAACTCTCCTGCTGGCATCTTGCCAACCCAAACTTCATTTCAGCAGGGATTCAAGAAGAAAACTCCGGAGTTAGTATTCGAGCTCCAGTGCTGCCTCCACAGTGAGTGTGGAAGTCTCACTTTGCTTTCAGTGGACAGACATCCACATCACATGAAATACAAGGCTCTCAAGCCCTGCAGAAGGGCAAGAGGGGCTTTGGAGAGTGACTGACTATCTTTCTGCTTGTTTGGAGGATTTCTTATGTCAGGACTTTGGCAGAAGGGGCCCACAGGCTTTTCCGGACACTATCTGATATTCCCTGCTGGCCTTAATTTTCCTGAGTATAAGGCCAGATGATACTCTGAAGATCCAGTTGACATCTTGCTTGTCTGCATGAGTTTAAAGATTGTAATGCTCTCATGGCCTAGCTGATTGCTCATCTGTGATGTAATGGACTCCTTTCCCTTCCCATAGGATGTGCAATACAAGCTGTTGGTTCTGACTTCCTGTCTGTCAAAGGCCATTAAGTTTCACACAAATACATACAAGCTCAAAGTCTCTGGGTAGGTTGAATAGGTCTGATTCTGAGAAATTTACAGGATGTTTCAGAAACGGAGCAGAAGACATCGTCATGGCAAGAAAATACCAACATCCAAGACCTCTGCAATGGCAATGAGTTGGTTAGGCTACATTTCTCCACGTGATGCCAGCAGGTTAAATCTCCCTCCGCCTACAAAGCAAAGGAAATCAGTCTCCCATGAAGTTCTCTTCTCACCTAATCCAGAGAAACGTTCTTTGCCCCCAGCGCTGGTAAGCGGTATTGCCACAAGCAAGACACAACACTCAGGCATCTGAAAGGAATCTGCATCACACAACAGTGGCCACCTTGCTTACTGTTTTCTCCGGCCGGGGCTAATCTTTGTCATTGCAGTGGAAGACAATAAGGCACAGGCATTTCTTTCCTAACCATTTGTGGGACTGATGACCCTCCCCTGTGCAATGCTGAGCACCTCAAACTTCAATGATATGCAGTACAGGAAGATGGAAGGTAACTGGTGCCTCACAGGGGAAAATGTGAACAAATGGACAGCAGCCTAACTGGCTTACTCTCCTCCCTTGTCCAAAAATACAGGTGTGCTTTACAGTAATGGGAGCAGGTCATGGCCTGAAAACCACCACTTCCATTGCACTTTCCTCCTCTGCATACATGTTATTTTATAAATACAGTTAAAATATCACCATTATGCAGGCCTTCTGGCTCTGTGATTTCATCTTCATTAAGATGACTTAATTGGAGCTGAAATATTTTTCCTGCAGCATTTATCTCCATTGGCATTTAAAAATGGCAATAAAATAATAAGTTTAATGCCTCATACCTCCACAATGAAACAGGTAGAATCAATGGCTGTCCTCACTATTATACATTTAGAATTGATTATAGATGATAGATGGATTTGTGCTGGCTAAATGGAACAGAACGAATTTGAGTTTATTTGCATATTAGTGATTCAAAACTGTTTTGTAGCTGTTGTACTTCAAGCATGAGAAAAAGCCTCTCTTGTGCAGGGAGATATCCTAGGAAGATGGCAGAGTCTGAATTTAACTGTTCATTGTACACACACACATAGGTGAAACTACACTTGGGCTGTAAACCAACTTTATGCTCTACTTAAGCCCAGTTTTGAGTGAACATTGCAAGGACGTTACAAGTTGCTAGGCTAACACAGCGTTGAAACCTTATCCCCAAATCATGAGCGCAAAAGCAGATGCTTTGCAGCAAGGCTGGCAGCTCCTATGCCAAGTCAACTCCACCAGAAGCAGAAGAAACAACTGTTGGATCTCTGTCCATGAGGACAAACCTGCCCACTCTTGCCCCATTTCCAAAGCTCTTGCGTGAAGAAGTACAAGAATCCTGCACATTGATTTATGTGATATTAAGCACTGCAGGACCTGAAATGAATTTCCAGCATCCTGACTTCTTCCAGGCAGTTTCACAAAGGGAAATGCTCCACTAGGCTTGTGCTAACCTCCATACCCATGCATGTTGCTATGTTATCTCCTATGTGGAGTCACCCTTAACAGTGACTTGTAGCACTTGGTAAGCAGTACTGCCATCGAATCCAAGTTTTCAAGCCATGGTCATATCAGCTGGATCATGCTAATAAGGTTGTGTGGGATTAAATGCAGTAGGAGCAAAAACTCTCTGAGCGTTGGTCGTGGACTGCTGACGTCTGAGGAACCAAATGAAATGACCCATGCAGAACAGCAGGTGTGGAATACTGGGTGATGCTAAGAGGTTTGGACTGCATGAAATATGCTTCGATCCACTGATTTTCGACACAGAAAGTTAAGTTCTCAGTTTGTGACAGTGAGTTCTCATCAGTCACCTACCTTTTTAGTGGAGGAAGATCTGGGTGCCTTTCAAAAGCAAAGTAGGAATTGCAACTTCTCTCTTTCTAGGATCAAGGGTACCTGTAATTTAAAGCCATTATGTATTAGGTCATAATCACACTTTGTTGGAAGAATACACAGAATTATAATAGTCTAGGTAGCAATTGTAGAGCAGTTCTAGCAGCCGACTGTGCTCTGCTTTTTGTGCTTTGTGAGTTTGGGAATATTTTCATGATAATACAATGCAATTTACTTGTACATGCAGCGATTGCAATGGAGTTGGTATGCTATAGGGGTAAAATATCCTGATCTGCTGCTAATCCGTCTGAGCCCCAATATATCTTTTTGAAGGGCCAGCACGGTGGACTGGCGTATAGCAGCTTATTACAGCCACAAGAGACTGGCCCTACCTGAACCTAAAGCATCTTTTCCTCTGAGCTGCAGCCTTGCTGGGGAAGTGAGAGACTCCCTCACAATGTAAAGGTCACCTTAAAACACTCAGCATAAAATGCTTTGATGAATTCACTAGGTTGTCCCATTTTACACAGCCAAAGCAATTTTAACTTGTAAATTTTCCTTTTCTTTCTCTCTCTCTGTTTGAAGGAAAACAACCTAACAGGAATTATTTTTCCTACTACCGAACAGTGGTGGCCATTTGGATTCTTTTTGGTCTTGCCTGGATTGCTCTCCTGTTTAATTTATTAACAACGATACTGGAAGATACTGAAAAAATAATTGCCAAGGATCTCCATCAAATGGGAAAGGTGAATAGAGACAGTGAAGCAAGTCAACAAAGAAGATGTTGGCATGCTCAGTTTATTCCAGAAGAAGAACTACAACTACCACATGCTGGAGGAGAAGCACAGAAGATGGAGTCATTAACAGCAGGCTCTGAACACCCAAAAAAATGAAAAAAAAGTTTTTTCTTATAGCAAAAATATTTCCACAACTTACGGGGATTGAATTCTTCATTGGAGATTTGCTAGTGCATTATTCTAAAGAAGTTCCCATGGAAATAACCTTTCTCCTGCCTTTTGCTGAGACATGACCTTTCAGAACGCAAGATTTCAAGTTACACAAACCCAGACTATTAATGGTAAGAAATTTGCTCCTCAGTTTGCCCCCAGGTTGTGCTAACAACCTGACAAGTGCACTGGTTTTGCAAGGCTTCTTTAAGGTTCTTCCACAAAGACGCAGAGGTGGCGTGTGGTAGAGCTTGCTGGTTCTGTTTGGATTTTGCTGCTTGCAAAAAATCACGTCTGTTCTGAGAACTGACATGCACAAGCTTTTCTGAGGCATTGCATAGCACCTTTGGAGAAAGAAATAAAGGGATATAACTTAATAATGCCTAATTTGAGCTGTCATATTGAATAAGCCTGCAGGACTTGAAAGACACATTTGAAAGGCAGGACCTGGGCTCAGTTAAGGGGCCCAAGAGGCATCTAATGGACAACGTTAAAAAAGGGTTAGCTGTGTTAGAAATGGTTTATTCTACCTCTTCCTGTTTTATACAAAGATGAATAAAGCCAATTTCACCTCCTGTCCCTGTGGCTTTGAAAAAACCTTTCTAATGGTGGTTGTAAAGACCATATAAACATATGCATTTAATTCAATTTTTTGTAGCGTTTTATAAGAACAGTGACTGCTTTGAATGGAGGAGCCCTCATTGCATCAGAGCCTTGCTGCTATGTTTGTATTCCGCAGGTGCTTGAAAGTAGTTTAAAAATGATCCTATTGTGCCGCGCTAAGGTAGCTTGCCAAGTACGAACATTGTCTAAACAGTGCAACCCCGTCGTCAACCAAGTAAAACAAGAATCTCAAATCTTGGCTTAGCCTCGGAGTTTCAGGTGTATTGTGTGGCATGCAGGTCATCCGTTAGTGAAGACTGTGGCCTTTAACAGCTCAGGCTACACTTCAGATGCTTCGGGTGTCTCCAGAGTGTACAAAAACCCTACTTCTAAGCGTTGGCGGAACCCCTGTGGTAGACACAGTCACAGAGGTGAAAAGTCCAGTGGTGTATATGCTTACACCAAAGGTCAGTCTAGCCCAATAGCCTGTCTCTGACAGTGGCTAGTAGTGTATGCCTCAAAAATAGGGACAAGACAGCTCTGCCATCCTCCCTCCCCAGTGTGTCCTCCCTCTTCCAGTAGTCAGTGGCTTGAGGCTGCCCAGGCAAGGGGTGGAGCCTCACAACTTAAAAGTCCATGAATTGGCCTAAATGCTGAATTCATACCAACATCCACAGCAACCTGCCAAGGTGGATGACATATTAACTACACAAACTACCTCTCTTTGCTGGTTCTGAACCTGTTGCTTGACAGTTTTTTTTTTCAATATATCCTCTGGTTCCTGTTTTGAGAAACAGTGAGTAATTATTCTCAGCTCACCCTCTGGGTGTTAGTTACAGCAAGAGCAGCCTCCTCCCGGAGATGTAGTTATACTGGCAGAGCTATTCCTGTATGAAAAGTAGAATAAATTACAGCTATAAAGCAATTTTAGATCATAAAGGTGCAATCAGCCTTGAAGCTGAACTTGCAACAGTTTCAGCCAAACAAAACCACACTTCTTGCTGAAATAGCTCTGTTGGTTCAAGAGCTGGCATGAAGATCTGACCAAATATGCACTCTCCTTCCCTCCCCAAATTATTCCACTGTGTTGCCCTCAAGGATGACTTCTCATCTAACATCTCTTACCCTCAGGAAGCCTTTGCTAGGCAGTAGGACTAAGAACTACCCAGAGATAGGCAGGGTGGTGGGGACCGTAGCTGTGTTGTAGGACACAGCCATCCCTGAGCAAGCTGTGACCCAGCTGCTACGACAAGATGACGCGACAGACTGCTGAGCAGAGAAAGTAGCTGGATGCTGGCAGGCAGGGATCCCTTCACCATGCTGTGTTCTCCTGTCACCAAGCCGTGACTCACAGTATATTCCCCAGACATTGCTTTCTCACTGCTGCCTTTTCCCAGCCCTTCCTACAGGGACCATTAACCCCATCCCCAATCTAAGAGAGATACTGTCAGGACTGGTTTAGGGAAGAGGTGATCCTGGCTTGATTGCGCAGCCTCTTGTGCTCCTCTCCAGTCTGGTTCACTCCCAGCGCCAGGATGCCAGGCGGAGCCACTGGGCCAGTGCACAATGTGTTTCCATTTGCTGGACAGAAGAAGGAGTATGGAGGGAACCATGCCTCCAAGGAACACCTTTAAATCCACACAGCTCTGAAAGATTTTCCTCCACTTGTTTCCACTGTTCTGCTCACTCTCGGCTCTCTGACAAATAACGTGACCCAGTCCTGGAACAAGCTGGTAATGTCCTGTTGCAATACAGAGTCAGAAAAATCAAGGATTCTTGTTTAAACATCTCTTGCCCTCAGGGAAGGGCAAGAGAAATGCCCTGTGGACTCTGACCACAAGAAAGAACAGAGCCAGGAAGTGGCTCCTCGAACAGATTAGGATAAATTCTCACAGAGGTGGGTGTTTAACGAAGAGCCGTGAAAAACAAGGGCTTGTCACTTCTGAACGCTAGTCTGCCCTGCGCATCTATTGTCGCAGGATGTGGTCAACTTGCTTTTTAATGCGTCTCTTGTCACCATGCTCCCCAGGGTAAGGATGTGCCCCTCTGGACAAGGGTAAAGGGACAGAGAGACTAAATGATTCACCCATGGCCAGAGAAAGTGGGAACCCGAGTTGGAAAAGGCTGTCATGGGGCTGCCGCCCTCCCTCAGACACCACGAATTGAGATGTCCCTGTGGGGCTCCTTCCTCCTTGCATAAACCTTTTTCTGTGGCTCCTGCATGTGGAAGAACAGAAAAAACACAACCATGAGCACGAAACACAAAATCTCTCAGGAGAAATTCAGATGAATATCCTGAGAGAAAAAGATTGGCCATCCATAAATCCCTGTAGGGCTGCAGAGAAGCTTTTTGAGGAAGGGGCTTGGCTTTCCTTCTTGTGCCCTCTTGTGGCTGTGTGCTGTCAGACCTCCTCCTTCAGCGTTTCGACCGGGTTTGGGCAATTTTACACCATCTCCTGCCCAGGCTTCTGCTGCACAGTTTGGCTGGCCTAGCTGATGGCAGCACTGGCTAGGACAGGTCCCAGGACAGCATCTTTGTCAGTACAAACCAGAGGAAGCCAACTCATATCTTGATGTGGTTCACAAGGGCTCGCTGAAGATGAAAATGTACCTCAGTCTCCCTTGAGACGGAGTCGGAGATGTGCACCTTGTGTGTGTCCTCCTGCTCCGTGCATTTGACAGCATGCAGGTCCAGACGGGGATCCTGTCTCATACTGGCACTGAAACAGCTTTGTGGGGGTCAAGTGACGAGAGGATGGCTTTTGTCTGGCAAACCTACCACAGGAAGGACCCTTGCTTGTAGCCTACATGCGGCCGGTGACTGGGTACGTGCCCACCACGCAATGGACAGATGCACCGACTTCCACCACACACCTTTGCCACAGGACTGACAAGTTCATGCACATCCTCTGTCCCATGAGAGCATGGGCTGGGCCAGAAAAGAAAAAAGCAAAATGGCAGGTTTCAGTGTGGGCTTTGAAGCTGGGATCAGCTGGCCTGAACTGTGGCAGCCCCGAGGGCAGGTGGTGGAGCGTGTTGCGGAAGGGATGGAGGACAAAGCTGCAGAATGGAGAAAAGAAACAGCACCAAAGGGTGTGTGGTCCTCTGCACTGGGAAAGACAATAGGAAAAGCCCTGGAAAGCCATAAGCCAGGGTGGGAGAGGAACTTTTTTGGATGAGATGTTGTTCCTCATATTTATGCTGAACAATAAGGCTGTCTCCAGAAGGGCTTAGACACCCACACGAATCTCTCCAGAGATGGAGCAAGCAGCCTCTTCCAGTAGTATTGTCCTCTGAGCTCTGCACAACCACAGCAGATCTTGGCCTCGCATCACACCTGAAAGAGAGAGCCACTGCTTTCCATGCAGATAGCAGAGGCCCCAGTGCAAATTAAGTGTATCACCTGGGTTCATGCAAGAGGCCTTTGGCAAACACCTCCCAGGTCTGGTGCTCTTTCAACTCTGGTGCCTGGTCCTGCTATTGCTTACTAATACGTTGGACCCAGCAAACAGTCCTGTAGTTGCTAAGGTTAAGAAAAATAATTTTGAACTGAGAGCAAAGTTAGAGCACAGCTTTTTCTCAGCAGTCAGAGTTTCAAAAAGGCCCCAAGACATTTAATTCATGAATTAGAGCCAGGCTCCAGCTCTACAACACTTTCCCTTTGCTCAAGGCACAGAAAACAGGAATAAAACGCAGCCTAAAATCTCCATTCTGCCAAGTGGCGCCGGCAGCAGGGATCCTCTGGAGGCCGGGTGGAGGGTCTTCTCTGCTGACAGATCCGCGTAGCCTAGAGCTTTTCCAGGGAGCCGTTCAAAAGCCCTCTCTCCAGCCCAGCCCTGCTGCACCGCTCAGGGAAATCCAGTTTTCACAGAGCAGCCCCCTGTGCAATTGCCAGCTCTCTCACTGCTGTTTGCTTTCCAAGAGGAAACATTTCTAAGGCAGACCGAATACTTTCCCATACAGTAAACCAGTGGCTGAAAAAATCCAGGAGTACGCTCGTGAAATACATTATCTTAAATGGCAGCAGCATGTTCCTGCGTTCAGGTTGGGCAGCTCCTCATACATCACCCGAGTCTTTGCTGCCGGCTAGCAAACAGCGCACATCTCTGCACTCGAAACTGCAGAAAAGCCCTGAGGAATTATCTTTCCCTCAGAAAGAAGCCCCTCAGAAATTCAGTTGCCTCTAGAGAGAATAAGAGGAACTACACTTTGATCTGTCTTTAATTAGTTTATGGGATTGTTTAGGGAATTTCTGAGGCCTCTTTCAATTAATAGCCAGTTCACTTGGAGAGATTATTTTTTTTCTGGAAGCAGAGAGACGACTCAAAGCAGTGGAACAGCTTGGCTAATGTAACATCATATAGCCAGTGGGATTTTTTTTTTTTTTTTAAACAGAAATTACTAAACCTAGGCCACACACGTGGCGTTTTCCACTCTGTCGCCCTTGGAGATGTGCATCCTCTGCCTGACTCATGACCAAAAAGCCTGAAACCAGTTCAGAACTGGTCTGACAAACATAACAAATTGCTCTCCAAAGGCGCATTCCCTGTCCCTTGCAATCACACCCGAAGGAACAAAAAATAAATCTGATTTTGGAGGAAGTGCAGGATTCCAGCAGGATTTAAAGTGGCCTTGCAGATCTCCTGCGAAGGTTAAAACAGCTCTCCTGCTGGGATCCCCAACCTATGCGCCCGAGGACTAGAGTGAGGCAACCTTGCCAGTCAATGCTAGCAAAGTCAACATTTAGCTGGTTTTGGACTAGATGGGGGGAATGGAAGTTGCCACCACCCAGAGGACTGGCCGCCCGCTTCGCTCCCGCTGGCGGCAGGGGGCTGCGCTAGCCCTCGCGGGAGCCCGCGCTGGCTGCTTCATGGAGCCTGAGTGTTAAGCAGAGCAGCAGTTGGGACGTGGACAGAAACAACTCCAAATCTGCTCAGAAAATCCAACACTTTCTACCATCAGGGGTGCTGGT